TGTTTTGAGTAAAATATTGGTGGCGACTCCATGAACCTATTTTCAAAACCATTAATTAAGGATTAGTCTGGTGTCTGGGCATTCCTTAATTGATGAAACTTTTAAAAGGACGTCTAAATCTTAGGTCGCAAGATCGGAAATTTTTGGGTTGCGACATATATACATTGTATGATACTTGTACATAGTAGTTACTTATATAGGTATACTTTGCCTTTGTATTTGTGAGGCACTTTCTTTCTTTTCCTATAGGATTTTAGGGTATGCTACTTGGATAATTTTGCACCATTTGACCTTGTATTAAGGGTCATAGATTTTCATATTTTTAGTAGTAAAAGTGGGGTGACAAATAGTAAGGTGTGTAGGTGTAACTAGTAATTGGGCCTATGGTGGGCCTAGGCTAAATTTTACATATTAGACTTGTTTTCCTCCATTTTTTCCAAGGAATTGATTTAGCTAAGTATCACCATCACTTGGTGAACCTAACTAAACCAATTCTAAGAGTTTTGAATTGGATTAAATGTAGGAGGCAAGCTTGGTCGCCTAACTCACCTTCCTTGGCCAAAATTACCTTGGCTTCTCCCACACACTTGGATAACTTGTGCTACAAGCTTCTAGCTTAGCTTGCTCCCCAAGCTTCTAAGTTAGAAGCTTGTTCCACAAGCTTCCAAGTTACTAGACCGATTAGATTGAGTGTAAGAAGGCTAACCATAGTTCTCCTTGAACCATAGATAGTCTAGCTTGCACCACAAGCCACTCCCTCACTATATAAGTCTTTTTCTTCACTTTGTAAACACTTTTGATGATAATATAGAGAGATTTCAGAAATTTTTTTAGAACTTTCTCTCTTCCAAAAGTCTTAACCTCTTTGATTTCAATCCATTTCTCTTATCCTCTTCATACAAGAGTGTGGTGAGATTTGAAGTGGCTAATCTTCCTCCAAGGAGTGGCGCCACTTGAGAGTGTTCCTCACCATTGAAGGTGAATTCCGAAGCTTCATCAATCATTGGAGGCTTTGAAGAAGCTTAAGGAGAACCAAGAAGCCAAAGGTCTAGGGAGAAGCTTGAAGAGAAGCCAACAACAATCTGATTTCCTCTTAAGTTTTCCATCAGGCTGTGACATTGGGGTTTAGTTATAGAATTTATTTTCTATTAGTATTTGAATTATAGATCTTAACTTATTTAGTTATAATTGGTTTAAGAATTAGATTTTATTCATGTAATTGTTCTCGGATTTAGTTTTGTTTAATGTTGAATTTCATTTAATGTGATACCTCTATCTTAAGCTTTAGTTTATTAAAAATGTTAGTATTATATTTATTGAATTTATGCATGTTAGTAAAGGGTGTCACATTTTCTTAGTCCTCGAACCAACATTTTTTTTTTGTTATAAACAAGCTTGCAATAGAAAAATACCGTTGTCTAATGCCAACATTCCCCTATGGGTCAAGGATTCAAGATTATTCCTATTATCCTTTCCATACTAGTCAACATCTTCACTTGCATCGTTATAACTGCCAACACCACCAATGCCTTCATTGTTATTGTTATCATCATTGTTGACAATAATGACGATAATAGTTGTTGTGGCAACAACAATGGGGATGACGATTAGAGATGTGGCAACAATGTTGTTACTACTGTCACCATTTACATAACCACCATCATTGTCACTGTTACTTGGTAGCGACAAAGATGGTCGCAAAAGTAATGGTGACATTGTTGGTGGCATCATTATTAACACCATCACAATTGTTATTGTCATTGACACAATTGCCATTATCATCTCTTCCACCACCACCATAAACACCTCCATCTCATCATCACCACCATGGCTGTTGTTGTGATAATGATGGTGACGATAGTAGTGGCATTATCACCACCATTATTTTTGCCACTGTAATTAAGAGATTTAGAATTTTTCACTTAAGGAATATGACTTGAAATATATTTTGTGGGTTGTTCGATTAACACAAAATAAATATTATTTGAAGATAAAAAGTTACATATAGTTTCCTAGATTGGTTAAGAGTGCGCCCCTGATAATTGCATCGTTGTGCCTGGACTATGAGAAACGTTATCCCTGTCTTTCCTTTTTCACCCTCTATGTCGCGACTGCATTAAAAAAATTAAAAAATAAATATTTCATTCAAGTTTTTAGTTGGGAGAAATTTCCTGCCTTGCCCTCTTGTTGTAGTGCCCGTGGAAGGGCTAGGGATCTAGCATCGAATGGAAAAAAGCGCAACATGGTTGCACCACAATTCCATAGTACACTCACACTGAATCGCAAACCTTTGCAAATAAAATTTTGTACCTAAATTTAAACAATAAATAATTTTTGTTTAAAAATCCTTTAAAATTGTTTACTTTTTAATGTTTTGCTTCAACTTGGATTTTTTTAGGAAAATCATATTTGGTTTGTATACTAGAAATTTCCCATTCTTATATAGTTTAACTGACATGTATTGTAAGCGTAAAATTATTTTTTATTTGACTTTTATTGTGGTACTATTTAGTGATAAAAAAATTATCATTTACGATAGTCAAAGATTGAATGACAATGTAAACATTTTTAGACAATATTTGCATAAATTATTTTTTCTTTATTCTATGATAAATTATGTTTTATAACGTATGTGAAGAGATATTTGTAGTTTACTCCAATGTTAGGATGCATAGGAGTAGTAAAAATAGATACAAAAGGAATAAAGAAAGTAAAAAAAATAAGATACATTCATGATGGAAAAAGAAACAAATTTGAAAGAGAAAGTAATTATTTTAACATAATTATCCTCTTTTGACCTCATTATTCATAAATATTTAATAGTTATCCTTTAAAAGTTAATCTTTAAACGTTATAAATTACTTATCTTAGGATATAATGAGTTGTCACATCAACATGCTACCATTTGCCTCATCGATCCACGTAAACATATGTCAATATCTCAGGAAAAATATTATATCTTACACACAGAAAACACTCTAAACAATCAAACCATCCCATCATCGCATAAGACCTAGCATTTATGTTAATATCTTAGGAAAAAAATACCTTATATAATGGCCAATGCTTTATACACAATTCAACCCTCTCATCACCATCAACACAAACTTGTTCTAAAAAGCCAAGTCGTTTTAGCCTCATAATCTTAATCCTATCATTGAGCCAAATCAAAGAAGGTGAAGAGGACTTTGCAATAATGCTCAGTCTTTGGTCTTTTTGATCAAGATCTCGTATTCAACCAATGCCAAGAAGAACAAACAAATTAGGCATTACTAAAGTTCATGAGGGTATTAAGGTTGAATCGGATTCTTGACCAAAAGGAACATTGACTGAAAACTCAAGGTTGGAGGTGAAGTCACTGTATGGATTGTATGCAATTTTGTTTTCATTACTATTTATATTTATATTATTTTCTTAACATATGTAAAAGAAGAAAAAAAATTGGCTCGCCAATCTTTTGTGTTCCTAACAATTAAAAAATTTGATATTTTTTTTGACATATTGGGTAATTATTGATCACAACTTATGCTTTTGAGTTATGTTCTACCTAAATAATTAGTAAAAACAAAAGTAAATAATTTTATACACTTTAAATTACTCTTTTTTAGATATATTTTATGTTTTGGTGTTTTAAACACAAGAAGTACATAATGAGAGAAAAAATGATAAAAGAATTGGGAGAAATAATCAGATGTTTATTCTTAGAAGCTTCACATAAGCTATTCATTTAGTCCCTTAAATAGGTCTGACATAGATTTATGTAAAAGTCTCGTTCAAGGCAGGAGGAAGCCCTCTTCTCATTTTAGTAAGAGGTGATTGAGGTGTCCAAGGATATTTTGCAGAGGCTCCTTTAGGTCAACAAGCACAACAGACACACCTTTAAGGAAGTATAAATAGTACATAAAGAGAAATGTACCCATTATGATCACTTGGATAGGGAAAATTAGGTTTCTTTTGGAGAGTAATGATGATACAAAAGCCTTTGTTGTAGACTATTTTAAGAACCCTTCAACCTTCTATTTAGATTAGCCATTAGTGGCTAATTTTCCTGTTTTCAAGATAGATGTGGCTCACTTGAATCCTTTTAATATTCCTCAATATTTAATACATAATTTTATTCAGTTAGTTCTTCTTTTTCTCCATCTTAATACTTATTTTGGGATTTGCCAAATATAATATGAACCCTTGAAATTAACTTTTGTTGGAAGTGTTTTTAATACCACGATCTTTAAAAGAACCCTCAACAAACATATTGATAAATAGAATATTGCCATGATTGTCAAAATAAACATCAAAAGCACCAAAGGACTTACAAATGATAGCAACTTGCTAGACCACGATTGTAATGTCGTCTCGATGTCTACCATACACTTCATAGTTCTATCCTTGTAATTTTTAATTTTAAAACATAAATAAGGATTCTTTAGATATTACACTAAAATTGTTTTAAAATTTTTTCCATCCTCTTCAAATTCCCAATATCAAAGGGGAGCTAAAATTAGATAAGGAGAGGTTTTGTTCCCCTACAATCTCCTCTTAAAAATTGAACTAAACAAGAAATGTTTATAAAAATTCTTTGATGAAATCAAGCCTAAGGGCCAAATACAAGAACCTAGAGGAATAGGCTAGGCTTGAAGAAAAAGACTCAAGCTCTTATTGAGCTTTGAGTTACTTTTAGTAGTCGATTTTTCTATTCCTTACAAATAATTTTTATAAAAATTTTATTTTATATTTAACCTAGTATTTTTGGGTCAAATAATTAATGTAGGGATTTATTTCCTTGTAAATTTTCTTTTTAAGGGTGTATTTAGTAATTTTGGGGTGTGCAACTAATATTTGGATATGTGCTTATTGGATTTGTTTGGGCCATGAGCGGGAGCAGTGGCTCATGAGTGGGACGTCCATTTTACCCACACATCTCTCCTATTATTTCAAACAAATCTACCAAGTCACATATTTCACACACTAGTCACATATATATAACCATTATTCCCCAGCGGGTTGAGGATAGAAAGAAAGAAAAAAATCTGAACACAACAGAAAAAACGAGACGTTATCAGTTCCCACCGTTTCACTCTTTCACTCACTCCCATTCATTCTTAATCCATCACACTGCAAAACAGAGACACATTAGCCAACAACAACAACAAACACAGTTTCAGAGTTTCTCTAACATTTCTTCAAATGGTAATAGTTGCATTGTCCTCCTCCCTCCCCGGCGGGAGAAACCTCTTCTCCTCGATACCACCAACGCCACCGCCCCCCGACCCCGTCTCCGCCACTCCGCCGCCGCCAATTCCCATCCCCAAGTACCCCCCTCCGCGCAAGTCCCAACCCCCGCCGCCACCCTCTCCGAACCCCGGCCTCAAGTACCACCGCGAGACCAAGTACCACAAGCCCGTCAGCGACGGCGGCGTCATCGCCTCCGACGGCGCGGACCGCTCCGTCATCATCGGCGAGTCCGGCGTGTCGTACCTGCTCCCCGGCGCGCCGTTCGAGTTCCAGTTCAGCTACTCGGAGACGCCGAAGGTGAAGCCGCTGGCCATCCGCGAGCCGGCGTTCCTGCCGTTCGCGCCGCCGACGATGCCGCGTCCGTGGACGGGGAAGGCGCCGCTGAAGAGCAGGAAGAAGAAGGTGCCGCTGTTCGACTCGTTCAACCCTCCGCCGCCCGGCGCCAAGGGCGTGAAGCACGTGGAAATGCCCGGGCCGTTCCCCATGGGACAGTTCCCGAAGGAGGGTCAGACGAGGGAGGAGATTCTCGGTGAGCCTCTCAAGAAGTGGGAGATACAAATGCTTGTTAAACCCATGGTGTCTCATAACCGCCAGGTTAATCTTGGTGAGTTATTTCACATTGCACATAGATATGATTTTTTATTCGGTAAAAATAAAATGTGTTTATAGGTTCTCTAGATTTGTTCAAAAATGGCTTTAGATTTAGATTATGGTTGGATAAACTTCTCCAAAAGTTCGGGTAAAAAAAAAGTTTATCTATAAAGCTAATGAATAAGAGTCTATTTGCATACAAACTTAAAAGCGATTTTGAGGAATTCTATATAAAAATAAAAAAATAAAAAAAGAACTCTATTTGAGTATAGAAACTTTAAAAAAATTATAAGTTTATATTCAAACAGACTCAAGCTAATTTACAGTGTCCTTTATGTTAGTTTCTCAAAAACTTATTTTTAAATTATGAATAAGTTAATGTTTTTAGAGAAACTTTTTTATTTTTCCGTCTTATTTTTTTTCTCTATAAGTGCTTATGGAATCCAAACAAGCTCGTAGTTTTTACATTTTAAAAGCAGTGGCGTAAGTTGTCGAAATTCTGAAATGTGGTGGATTTCGTCTGAGATCCTATACTTTATTTTGATCTGACAATGACTATATCCACTACATTTCATAAACACAAGGACTAAAACCATTTCTTTTGTGAGTTTATGATGTTGATGATAGTGAATCAAAATTCAGGGTTTTAATGGCCTGATACAGTTGTGACGACCTTGAGATGTTGTAGCCACATTGCATCATGCAGTCAGCCGTTTAAAATTCTGAATTGAATGTTGTGAGTTTAAGGTATAGGAAGTGTTTTGAAGATGTTTAGTTTGGTGGTCTAGGAAGGGATGGATTAACGCATAATATGCTGGAGTTGATACATTCACATTGGAAGCGTCGCCGTGTCTGTAAAGTTCGTTGTTTAGGTGTTCCAACTGTAGATATGGATAATGTTTGCCATCATATTGAGGTATGGTATTCGTATCCCTTTTCATTTCTTCAAAATTGATTTGTATTCTTGTGTAGTTTATTGTATGTTTCTTACCTCAATATCCAGTTGCTATGTAAGTCGTGTTATCTCAAGTGAAAATAACATTTACAGGGGCGACTGGCTTTCGAGGCTGTTGTAGCCTTTCTTCTCTTTTTACACTTTATTTTTATCTATATCTATATATAAAAGCAATTTCATGTTTTGTATACACAATTCTTAGATTGTTTTACCTTCATTATAACCACCTCTAATCCATTCACGTACATTTTCTTTTCCAAAACATCTGTCACTTCTTAAATGACCACCTACTCCATCATTTCTATCTTTTTATTATTTTTAATTTTCTTTAAATATAGAGAGGCACGGAGTACCTCTTTTATGCTAGTTAAAATAATAAGAAAGTAGCGACACTCAGTTGAATTGTTCTCACAGCTGCTGTTTCCTAGTTAAGGCATTTGTTGTCTTCAATAAAGCCTTTTAATTCAGTTAGATTGGGAATAGATTTTATTGATACATTTACTTTTTTTAGTTCCTCTTCCATTCAATCAATTACACCAGATTGTTGACAAAAGCAATAGATTATTATCAGTCATGCATGAAAGTAGGTTGTTGCTTAACATTATTTTTTTACTTGAAGTCTTGTATGTTATCGCAGGAAAAAACAGGGGGGAAAATAATTCATCGAGCTGGTGGTGTAGTTTATCTTTTTCGTGGCAGAAATTACGAGTATAAAACTCGTCCACAGTATCCAGTGATGCTCTGGAAGCCGGCTGCTCCTGTTTACCCAAAACTTATACAAGATGCTCCAGGAGGATTAACGAAAGATGAAGCTGATGAATTACGGATGAAGGGGAAAAGCCTGTTGCCAATATGTAAATTAGGTAACCATGTATTGGGGTTTCATATTTGTCTTTCTAATACACACACACACACGCATATAGCATGAAGAAATTTGACAATTTATTGTATCCTTTGTCTTTATTTTTGTCTTCCCATGAGTAACTGAAATCACAGAAATTGAAGCAAGACTTTGTCTAACCTCAAACACTTTAGGTTTAAATATTTTAAAGGGTGGCTGAAATGCATTTTGGTGTCATTAATAGCCGTCCAAGTTTTGCAACTTCATTAATATGCCATTAGGATTAATAATTGATAGAATTGGTTCAGAATCAAAAGGAAAGAATATTTTTTATTGTAGAACCCAAATCCCAATTGTTGGGCCAATGTGGTTGCAGCCTTAGGCTAGGGTTAGAAGATACAGAATAAATTCATTTCCCTTGATATTTGAGAGACCAGGGTTCTCCCCACTCTCTAGGGTAAGAAGATATGAAATAAATGATTTCCCTTGATATCAACCTACCCTCTTAATTTAATAGGCAATATGCCTTATTTCTAATACTATCTCAGCCCACCCAACTAACCCAATGAACTAACCAACTTCCTTACTAACAGACTCCTAACTAACTAGTAATGGGTACCTAAAATAATTTTTGAAGTATCATTGCCTGTTAAGACAAAACAAAAGCACAAATATGATGGGGGCTGGTTTTATTGCAATTGAACAAGAAGAACAGGTAAAATGGGGAAGGAGGGTGTTCAGGGTTTTCCAATGATGAATCTTGTTCTTGGGCAAAGATGGTTCTGGTTTAATGGAAGTTGTGCATTGGGTTGGATGTCTGAACAACAAGAAACAAAAGCAGAACCAGATAAAGTGATAGAAACAGAGGATGACCTAGTGTCAGAGGTGATAGAGGCAGAAGTCAAAGATGCAGATGCAACAAATAATCATGATTTTCAAATCTTATATTTGGTGACAATAGAAGAACTCCGGAAAGTGCTTGTTACAATGAAATGCAAATTACTAGAATTACGTCCATATATGTAGTGGTGCTTACATACAGTAATCAAACATGGAAGGAAACCACTGCCATCATTGCTAGGTCTTTATCTCAATGTAGGGACCAAGATAAATATCTGTTTATGGTGGTCGAGCATTAGTGAATGTACCCACCTGATGGCTTTAAATTTTTTGGCTTTGAGCAGTCCAGCCTGCCTATTGCTGCTTCCAGAACCACCACATTGGGATGTTGTATGGTAACTGAGGGGACAAAATTATGCCTTACATGCTGCAATTTTTTTCTAGTAGAAACTTGGGCATGGACTTTCCAACACCCCAACCCATGTTGGATAAACAAACAAAAAAAGTTCTTCAGAGGCAATCCTTCCATTGGATGCATGTTGATTTGAATTTGACGGCTAAAGAAAAGTGAACGGAAGAATCTTTCTGGAGCAGGCTTACTCAGAATGTAAGTTGGCATATGGTTGTGCTTCATAACTCAGGCTGATTTGGAAATCCAGCAATGCTTAAGTTCAGACAAGGAAAAGCTGTCCTCATGATTAAACAATCTATGTTGTTAGGGTTCTATTAATCTGATGGGATGTACTTCCAGAATATACAGACTTTTTTGGGATTCTTATTGCCTCCTCCAGTTCCTCTATTCTTTCAGGCAGAAAATATTGATGATTTTTTGTTTATATGCAAATATATTGATTGCTTCAGCAGCTTGTCCAAGATAATGGGGATGTTGTGTTGTGACAATTTTTGATGGTGTGGATTACTCACCCACATGTGCTATGGAGCAAGACATGGACCAGGATAGTGACTCTGATCATGATGATTATGGAACACAGAATATAATGGAATTCCAGAAAAATGGGTCAGTTTTTTTGCCTAATTGGCCAAGCCCAACCTTGTCTCAGTATTTAGTTTCATGAAAAAGGAGATGGAAATTGCAAATCTGTCCACATGCCACTTTATAAACTATGCCAATCCTAGGTCTTTGGGCAAACAAATTGCCATTTGGAAATAGAAAATCTGACTGTTTCAGGTTTGATCTCTCACCTTTCTTCTATGAGTGTGGTAAATGTGATTTCTCTGCAAGTACTCTGAGCATAAGAACTACCCTTTGGCTTGGATTGAGGCACAATCTTCTTATCCTAAAAAATTTATTACCAAGAAAAAGATAAAATAGTGTATGGCCTCTGTTTCATGCTCAAGCTTATTGATGCATTTGCTTCCCACTTTGGCCCCAAGAACAAGCCTGGGTTCACCATTTTTTCAAGTCTTCCAGCTGAAGAATGCAGTAGGAAAGCAAAAATGTATCTCTAATTCATTTCCAGCCTACAGGATTTCAACCTTGGGGAGACAATGTTGAATTTCAAGGGAGGTGGTATTGTTAGAACTGACGGGAAGGAAAAGTAGTTAGAGGCAGTTAGAGTAGTTAGTTAGTGTGAATCAGTTAGATAAATCAGAGGGGATAGAGTAAGGATGGAAGGAATTATTCCGAAAATTAAGTAGTTTGTACGAAAGGGATAACTCTTTGTTGAGGGGAAATCCTTACAGGAAATTCTTTCTTGTATTATCAGTCATTCAATAAAATTGTGCTGTTTCCTTTGTTTCTATCGATTTCCCTTTGCTCTTTCATGGGTTCCTGCTGTCCAAATAAAATATTTGACAATATGAGATGCTATGAGTTTGTCAAGATGGAATATTTCCTGGTTAGTAGAGTAAGAATGTAAGATAATGAAGATAGGCATACAAGAAATGAACTGATGAGTGAAGTCCAAAATCTCTTAGTTGGAGGAAAGACTATCAAAATCTAGTATAAATAAAAAAGGATATAATTTATCATTATGTTTTTTGTTTCTTTTCTGAAGAAAGGATAAAGTACTTTCTTCTATTTTGAATTATTATTGATGTTACATTCTTTCTTTATGCTGATTACATTTATTCATTTAAGACACGAGTTATGGTTCTTATTTCTATGTTTATACGTCTAATTTACTTCAATCATGTTGCAGCCAAAAATGGAGTATATACATCCCTTGTAAAGGATGTCAGAGAGGCTTTTGAAGGAAGTATTTTGGTGAAAATTAACTGCAAGGGATTGGATCCTAGTGATTACAAGAAATTAGGTGCCAAGCTTAAGGTATCGACATAACAGGCTTTGTATATTGATTTGTTCCTTTTGCACCTTGTTAGCTATGCCTTGCATTTTTATTTTTCACCGTATTTGTTATGCCAGAAACAAACAATTTTGATATCTGTTCTAGGTATTTAAGTCAATAAAATTAATTAAAAGTGTAGAAGGAAGTCATATATGCTCAAAGGAAATGAGAAAAATATACTAGCTATGAGTAGAAAACACTTGTTCTATATAGTATTTGTTCTGTATCAAATATAATCCTTTTTTCTTATTCTATTGAGGGATGCATATGACTAAATTTGATGGAAGCATTTGGCAAGCTGTCTGCCTCAAAATTTTTACAAAATTGGAACTCTTTTTTGGGGTAAATTATATGATTGTATTAAGTAAATACTGTAATACCAATTTTAGAATAATGAATTCAACATTGACATAACCAGGATGATTGCAATTCTTTTGAAGGCCTTTCACTTTTTGATCTGTATCTACATATCTTGTTGGAGATGGAGAAAATTAAAGGATGGGTTTATTGATTGACTGAAATTTAATGGAACCAGAAGAGAAACTCTCCTCCAAGGCTTTCCCATCTGTTTTGATAACTGAGCAGTTACTTGGTTTACACAAAATTTATTGAATGGCTCCTTTCCACCCTTATCCCTCCCACCATGCTATTCATCTTACTGTCCTCTAAGTAACTAACTGCCCTAACTATTCCTAAGTCCTAACTACTTTGACTCCGCCCTATTCTTTCAGTCAATATCCTTTTTCCCTTCTTCCTAACAATACTGACACTTGAAGTTCAACCTTGTTCTCAAGGTTGAAAATGGTCAACAGATAGTGGATAGTCTTTATGTTTCTGCTTTCCCAGAATCTGCATGTGCAGTGCCCCACCTCTTCATCAAATTGATCCTCTGCCAAATACTAAGTTGCATGCTCTTTTTCGGATATCTGTACATTGTACCAAATGGCATGCCACATTGAAAGCACCTTCCCTCATCCCCTTTCTGACATACTCTTGATATGAAAGTTGTGAAGCTCCTCTTTGTATTTTGATAGGTTCCCCATGCACATCCCTATCTGAATAATTGGATGGATCAGAAGCTTTCTTGACTATGCCTGATGATGCTTGTCCTTGCTCTGTACTGGATAGGCCATGATAAGAAGTTAAGAACCTTGGGAGAACCACACCACAAAAGCTAGTTGTTGTAGTTGGAGAGCCCACACTAGAATCCCATACTTCCAATATGAAAGTTATGTCTCATACCTAATTGGATCCTAACAGACCCACCAGCGTATGCTTGAAACTTGTGGTGTGGACCACTAATTAAGATTACCATATCTCTTAATTTAAATCTTGAATCATTTCAGTTTACTTTGTTTCTATATACTTCCCTATCTTGATAAGATTTGCATATCAGAATCCCTATATTCAGATCTATTATTATTTTTTATTAGGATTAGGGTAATTGTTAGTCATGATTATATTAATTAGGGATCTCTTTATTTTTTTATTTTATCAATTAGGGTAATTGTTAATTATGAAGGGCAGACCTGATTGTAATATCATCAATGAGAAATTTTCAGAAACTGTTACAGACAAGTCTGCTTCTTGTTTTTATCATAGGTTGCAAGAAGTATTGTTCTGTGTCTAGGTCTGTAACTTAATCCTATGTAAAGGTCCATAACAACTTGATATTGGAGCCTGAAATTGAATCCAGAACAATTTGATAGGTCCGGTGGCATACAATTCTTCAATGTCTTTGGCCATAGTGATAGCCTTCAAGATATCAATGGAGTCAGGCGTTTGAAATTTGCTTTGCTTCCACCTGTAAATCTTCCAAGAAGTATGCCTAGAACTGTGCTTGGAGACCTTAAAGCTTGAGCCACCAAAAAGATGTCAAGGGGATCAGTTCTCAACATATTTTTCTACAGGACCTGTTTGATGCAGAGTACTCAAAAAGTGCTCTTACACATCAGTGAAACTTTATCCACTAAACTGCTGGTTCAAGGCTGCCATCAGCCAATCTAAAGACAAAGTGTCCTCTTCCTCAAAAAGGCATAACCAATGGGCTGCAGTACCATCCATACTGATGAAGGCTGCTTGCAATTTTTTGTTTTTTATGTACATTAAAAAGATTTTCAGCCCCATCGATCCATTCCAAAAGGATCACATCCATCAAAATTGATTAATTCCATATTCGCCTCCCAAGAACACATGCTGTCTCTACTAAATTCTGATTTTCCAGCATCCAAATCTTCCCAACTTGCTTGTCCAACTTGCTTCTCACAATAATTGTATTGTGACATCCTCTTCAAATCGTTTCCCTCATTATTCATCCATCAACTCAACGTTTGCTTAATTTGTCAGTTCCTTTGACATTTTTTCTGATCTCAAATAGATTGGAATTCATGAGCCGGACATGCCAGTTGCAGATCCTGCAGGTCAGAACAAATGTTTGCAACAGGGACCATTTTATTGATAGACTGAAATTGAACAGAATAAGAAGAGATCCGAGGGTTTCCCCTTCACAAATGGTTTCCCTTATAAGTGATAACTTGAACAGTTGCTTGGTTCACACAAAATACAATGTCCTGAAATTCTCCTTTTACCTTCATTTCCTCCTGCTTATCTAACTAAACCTCATTAACTAACTTCGGTAATTGTTCCGAAGTACCTTGATCCTCCCTTTAGTCTTCCAAAAAAAGGTTTTAGCAAAGAAAGCTAGAATATAGTTCAACAAGGATTGCAAAATCTGAGATGACAGCTGAATTAATTAATGTTTTTACTATTCAGTTGAAGTTGCTTAATTTTACAAGAGCCAAATTCACACGAAGTATGTGATTGAGGATTCATCAATTCGAGTTTTTGTATTATTATCTGTCTCTGACTATGCTAAAAGTGAGCATTACGACTATCGTAGAATTTTAAAGCATCTTTATGGTTAACCAGGGAATGAATTTTTCACAATAGAATTTTATTCTCTGATTTCTCTCAACTACCAAAATAGCTCATCTTCTATACATGTGACTAAGCTCAATGCTTTTGTTACCAGACTTCATTATGTGCCAGCTCTGGGGTAAATGAGGGACTTGTTACAATTGATTACTGCAGCATGATATGCATAGGACTTTGTTTAAATTCTTTAATATATATTTGTTCATAATAATACAAGTTCGTGTTTAGTTTAAGTATTACCACAATCATTTGAAATAGGAATATTGTGCCGCATGCATTTTGATCATCTTGTGTTGGCAGGATTTGGTCCCTTGTGTGCTGTTGTCTTTTGATGATGAACAGATACTGATGTGGAGGGGAAAAGACTGGAAATCAAGGTACCCACATCCTCCCCCAGTTTTTTCACCTTCAAAAGCTGGTATTACAGGGAGTTTGGAAACATCAGGTATGTGTTATATAAAATAAATTCGGTTGAACCATTTTGTTTTTGAATGTCCTGTTCCCATTTAATTCTTATAAGTTATATCGTATGAATACATATCCATGTGTATACAAGTTATAAGATATTATTAGTGTATAGGAAGGAATGTGCAAGAATGAGGGTTCCCAAATATGTATCCTAAAATGGAAAAGAAAAGCTTAAAACATAAAAAGGTAAAATTCAGGATTCAATCATATGGATGTTCACAGTAGGTGGCTGTAGAAAAGAAATGATTTGTTCTTGAAACAGTCTTGGAGTTTAGGATATGTTTGATGGAGTTCCCCAGCAGATAATGCCGCAATAAGTACTCAAATTTCTCTATATGGATTTCAAAGGTAGAGTTTATTTTACAAATTTAAGAACTGACCATTAACAGAAAGGCATTTTAGAAATGCATTATTGAATTGAAGTTTCATGAATTTTCTCGAGCAAATTGGAAGTTTGGGGAATATTTGATTTAGCCTCGAGTTTAGGTTTAGTAGATTTTATGTTTTGGGGAAGGTTATACGATTGTTTGGCACCTTTATCTAGTGATATTGGGGGGAAATAAAGGAAGGAAAATTTACCGTTGCCTTTTGTTTTTAAATGAAGACAAGTTCAGTTCCACACGGGGAGATGCAGCAAATGAAGTTTCGTTTGAAATTTGTTCTATACTAACTTCATTATGTTCTTTTCTATGAGAAGGCAGCTCACTTTACCCGGTTGATTTTCCATTGCATCGACTTCTTTCCCTTTATCTGCTTAGTTACAAATATGATGACTGAATGTTAACAAAAATATTTTCCTAGGGAAGCTTTGAAAATAACATACTTTGTTTGTTGGTCTTTTCCTTACCACTCATAGATTCTTTAACTCAGCAACTGTTGTCTGTTATATACTACATCAGTTCTTCCTTTAATACATATATATACAGCTTCCAAGAATCGGAATTTTCTCTCTGGTGCCATAGATATATTTTTCTGTGTTTGTTCTATATCATGACCTGGCCATATGGTAAAATATATCATTTGATAAAATTGGATTGTAATGTTTTGACAATGTTAATCAGGTGACACTGATGACAAGCAATCTAAGCATGGTGGTAACAATGTGGTGAACACAAGCCCAAAAATGTTGTCTCTGTGGAAGCGTGCAATTGAGTCAAGCAAAGCTTTGTATCTGGATGAGTTTAATCTTGGTCCTGATGCCCTCTTGGAGAAGGTAGAGGAATTTGATGCTGCTTCACTGGCCTTGGAGCACTCCCATCCAGCATTTAGTTTGCCAAGTCTAAACGATGCTGAAGGTCCAGCTCCAAACTTTGAAGATAGTTATTCTAGTGATGGCTTACCTACTGAAGAGGAAGAGGATGAAGAGGATTATGTTGACTACCATGATGATGAAGATGATGACTCGTATGTAGTGGACACATCAGCTCAACCTGGATCATTACCTGTTGATAAGATTGTTGAAAAGCTAAAACAAAGACCATTGGGAAAAAAACTTGATTCAAAATAAAAATGACAAAATGAAGAACATTTGTATTGATAAATTGGCAGGCGTGGAATGTAAAAACCAATAAAGAAAGAAATGAGTTATCTGTAAATAACAAATTGGACATTTTCTCGAGCACTATGTGCCTTGGTTTTATGAGTGACACGTATTTCTGCCACAACTACATAATTTACACGTGGTGGCCACTCGTGCTGAAAGAATCTTATCAAGGTTTTTGAATTGGGTGAATTAGAGAGCCAACATTGTTGCATTTTGCTGCTCTCCTTCAAATAAGAGTTTTTGAGAAAGGAAAATTCCAGTTCAGCTTGTATTCATTTAAATTTAATATACTCACATCACGTGGTATCCACATGGTGATTCACTGATTTTTTTTAGCTTTTCTACTCCAATGGCATAGTCGGTTTCAGCTTAGTTTTTTTTTATTTTAACATTTTTGTTTTTGTTAATATTATTTACAAAACCCTTCGAAGCTAAAGTCTTAATTAAAATTATTTTAACTATAATTTTTTTATATACATAAGTTGATTTAAAATTGAAAACAGAAATGTAAATGAACTTGAATGTTTGTGCATCATTTGAATTAATTCGTTAAAGATTTCACTGATTATCAAATACATAAGTTCATATTTGTATTTAGATATAATATATATGCTATTTGGCAATATATGTATGTGATAATTCAATCTTTAGAAATTAAATCTAGTTAAGAAATTGTATACATGACAAAATCTGATTTTCTAGTATTTAATATGAATAAATTATAGTTATATGTATAAAAAATAAAAATTGTGTTTCCACAGACCACGATAGACTTAACAGAGGAAAAAATAAAATAATAAACGTGATGGACAATATTCAAATTTGAAGTTCTTAACAAACCAAACTAAACTTTAATTTCATCTGTAAGCAGTTTATTCCTTTCACGAGAACTTTACTAGTTTACAGAGCCTCGAGTGAAAGACGAAAGAAACTCAAATAAATGAATAATCAAATAGAAAACAAGAATTTGACACATGACATTGACAAACACGCAAAGGTACAAAAAGATACAAACCTGAAGCGTGAAACTGAATTTAGTTTTAAAAGAAATAGTAAATAATAATCATGCGGATATTGATATGAAAAGCGTATATTGTTTTTGTCTTGTCTCTGTTAAGTAACCGTGATCAGCCAACAAACCCAAAAAAACATATACTCTTTTTTATATAATAATTATAGAGTTGAACCTAATAAAGTTTTGAGTTAAACTGCACACTAATAAATTTTAATTAATCATTAAATGATCAGTGATATTTAATCTAAAAATTATCATATATTTGTAGTCTTAATGTCATCTCTGTCCATCATTCTTAACTATAAAAAAAAAAAGAAATATATATATATATATATATATATAATTATCAACAGTGATTCCTCTCTCTCACTCCCTCATAGATAACCTATATAAAAGCATAAAGCAAAGCATCTTCTGCCCTCTGAATTTTACTTATCAACAGTGAGTGCTACACCTTTCTTTCTTCCCATATGGAATCACCCCTATTTTATTTTTTTTGTCATTTGGATCAAGTAATGAACTTTTTGGATTTTGAGCTGAACCCGTCTCAAGTAAGGAATCTTGATTTTATTGGCTTCAAAAAAAAATTGATGAGCAAGCTTGTTATGTATCTGACCTTAGTTTGTGCTCATTCTCTCCTTCCACTTGAGTTTCAAATTTCTGAACAAGAATAATCATATCAAAATTCTGCTTCAGTTATTATGATTGCATTTGTGATGTGGCGGATTGTGCTTTCTTTTTCAAGCATGTGCTAGTGATGGCTACTTTCCTTTACACAATCCTGGCATTTTAGTTCCAATTTTCTGGATGCATATCTTTTGTTGCTGATGGAATTCATATCTTTCTTGATACATTTGAGATTTTGGTGATCTTTGTGATGTCCTTGAGGAAATTTTATTAAGTTCCATCCATTTTATCCTGCTTTTGTTGTTGGAACTGGGTGAAATGAGAATTTTAGATGCTCTTGATTGATTATCATTAAAAGGGTGTCTGTGTCTCAATGCACAAGCCTCCCTCAATTGTGCATAGAGTATTAAGAAACACATAATTGTGAAAGAAGCATAGATATAACTCATGAGTTTCTTCACAGGGTCTTCAAGCCACACATGGCAACCCACCATAACTTCAGATACTACTGCCCTAAGTTATTGGTTGAATTGGAGGTTCTTCTTCTGTGCACTATGGATTTTAGCCTCCATGGCTCTAGCATTTTTTTTAATATTCAAGTATGAAGGATTCAATAGATCAACATCAAATGGAGGAGAAAATCAGGGTGAAGAAGAAGCTGGATTGGTATATGAGGATGAAGCATGGAATACCTGTCTTGAAGGAATTGATCCTTCATGGCTTCTCATTTATAGAATAATTTGTTTTATTGTGCTTTTGGCTTTGATCATTGCCAGTGTGGCTGCAGATGGAGGAGCCATATTTTACTTCTACACTCAGTAAGTTACTTTATGCATATTTGAATCTGTTCAACTATAACATGCATTATCAATGTAGAGAGATATATACATTCTTGAAATAACAAAAACTGTCACCCTTTTTGAGAAATGAATCAGAAAATTCATGTATTAATTTCTTTACTAGGTGTTTCATTGCCACATCAATTCTTAAGCTAAAATACTAGTATTTTTAGATATACCCTTATGATTTTTAAAAAATAGCTTCATTATTCTATATACTGAGGTTGGAAACACTTGTCATGATATCTTGCATTTACTGGGGTATTGAAAATGAATAATCCTGACATAAAAAAAAATGAATAAGACAGAAAGAATCAAATAAATTATTGATTCTTACAATAAAACATTGCTTTTGTAAATATTCTGATTGTGCTTTTGTTTTTTGTTGTGTGCAACAGATGGACCTTTACTTTGGTCACTATTTACTTCGGGGTAACGCTTTACATTTCACTCTTATTATATATTGTAGTGCAAAAATTTAGTATGAAAAATTGAAAATAACTATATCATTTTTTTATCTCAAATTCACTTTCAGTTTGGATCATATTTCTCCTTATATGGATGTTCCCTAAAACCCAATAAATTTGTGAGCAACGCAGTCAATGGTACCTCTCTAGATGCAGAAGTAGGCACTTACATAGTTCCCACTATTGATGGATCTTCAAATATGCCTAACTTGCCCAAGAGTCCTGATCAGGAATTTCATACTAGAAAAATTGCTGGTTTGTGGGGTTACATTTTTCAAATAATTTTTCAGGTAATTTTTTTAGTGATTTAATTAATCGGGGTTGATTATTTATTTATTTGTTTACATGACTTTCTTCATCAACTCAGGAATCAATCTATAAATGTAACTCTTTTTTTTTCCTTTTAAATATATAGACATGTGCAGGTGCTGTAGTGCTAACTGACTCTGTGTTCTGGTTCATCCTTTATCCAAATCTTACGTCCAAAGATTATAGTGTTGATTTTGTAAGTATGATTAACTTTCTCCCTCGTTTATCCTTTGGCTGGGAAATAATATTTGATATACAAATATCATAAAAATGTCGGAGATTGTTTCACCTTTCCATCTAGTTCATATAAGATAACGTGTTTGTTTCCGATATTTCTTCATAAACATTTATAGAAAGAAAAAATGAAATAAGCTTCTTAAAAAAAATAAAAAGAAAAAAAAATTCATATAATTTCTTTAAAAAAAATTACAAATTAACTAGTGTATAAGCTAATTTTAATAGTTTTATGAAAAATTTTGTTTATTTTTTAAATTTTTTCTTTCAAAAATATTTTTGAAAAAATTTATTCAGACTCAAACTTCTCTTTTAGTCAATCATTTTATTTAATAAGTTCGATTTAAGTCTTTTTATTATTAAAATATTTAATTTAGTTTCTTAATTTTATTAAAACGATACAATTTGATCAGTTGTGTAACGTTAAACTTGGATAAATAATGATACATATGATGTTTTTGTGTATAATTTATATAAAAATTTAATGTAGTTAGTTTTAATTAGACAAAAATGATTACGTTGAATTGTTTTATAAAAAGATTAAATTGAACTTGAAGACTAAATTGAAAAAATTAAATAAACTAGAAGAAAAAAAGTAGCCTTTCGTATTTATAGAAAAATTGAAATAATTTGAAATTTGCATCGAATACCATTGTTACTACAGGTTCTGCCATGCCAACACCAAATCAACTACCACATAAAATATGTGATTAATGGTGCATAAAATATCATAAAATTTGAAATTTGTGGAGTCTAATTATGATTGTAGACTAATTTCTACAACTTTGCTTTAAGAGTTATAATTTAACATTATTTACATTCATAAACCCATTAATCTTTTGTGGAGTCTAATTACAACTTTCATTAGTTGCATTTATTTTATTTTTCCACGATATCAAAAATTGCGATAAAACTAGGGCTGTGATCGCATATTTAAAATCTTGTTCTTATGTACCAAAAGATGCTTTTCTATCGATCATCTAAATTTTTTGCATTTTTCATTTCGCAGTTGATTTTTTGTATGCATTCCATTAATGCTCTTTTCCTCCTCGGTGACACGTCATTGAATTGCATGGTGAGTTTGGATTTTAGCGGTTTATGGTTTGTTTTTTTTTTTTTTTATCTTTTGGCCATGATGCATGAAGTTCAAAAATTCAAATTCACAATTATTTATTCTTAACACGTGCAGAGATTTCCAATGTTTCGATTTGCATATTTTGTCTTGTGGACGGCTATTTTTGTGATTTTTCAGTGGATCATCCATGTTTGTGTTTCACTTTGGTAAAACCTTGTATCCATTGTTTCATAATTTTTTATACAAAAGAATGGTACCTTTCATAATTTGATAACCTTTGTTACAGGTGGCCTTACCCTTTCCTTGATTTGAAATCCGCATATGCACCCTTATGGTATCTTCTCATTCTCACTTCTCAATCTCTGTTTCTATCTATTCCTGAAATGATTGTCTTCTAATTGCTTCATAAAGTTGAACATTGTCAGGTTCATGAGCTTGCTTTTGAAATAATAAACCCATCAAAACTATAAATCAACCTTATCAATGATTGGCACGTGCTTATCCTTTTGTATGCCAGCATATTATATTTTATTCAGCACACTTACAGATTGGTTTTATATTTCAATGACCAAAAGGATTGTAAGACTATGATATGAGCGTGTTTGAGTTGAGAATTTTTTAAAATAAAAAAATTCAAAACATATTTAAAAAGCTGTTAAAAATTATGTTGAATTGTTCACTATCCCTATTGGACTTTCAGGTACTTGGCTGTGGCTTTGATGCATTTTCCATGCTATGGCCTTTTTGCTTTAATAGTAAGGATGAAGCAATTGTGGTTATCAAGATCATTTCCAGGGTCTTCTCGGTTTGTACGGTGACAACACTTTGAACTTGGAATGAAGGCTACCTTTTTGCTTAGCAAAAGTGATTTTGGAGATCAGATTTTGATAATTCCAGCTGTTATGTAGATTCACCCCTTCCCAACTCAAATAACTCTTACAGCTGTCAGTCTAGTATTATTTGAATAGTGCTCTATTATTATTTTTTTCCTCCATATATATTTTCAACTCACTGGGTCAAAGATTATTTATACTCATATTACTGTGAGTGTTATTGACTCAAAATTTTCACATATGACAGAAAAGAAACACGAATTTTTCACCAAATATACGAATCTCGTAACATATATGAGTGCATAGTATTTGACTACTTTTATTATATATTATACTAATAAAGTCGAGATAATTTGTGACTATTTTATTTAATAAAAATATTTAAGAATTAGTTATGTTTATTAAATCAACTAATAGTGTTTAGTTTTTAAACTTTAAAGTATTAAATTTGAATCTTATGTTTGTAAGAAAGATTAATTTTTTATATTATTTTTTATAATAAACTAGGTTGGCTGACTGGCAATACGCCTAAGACGCCAATCATCATTTCATCCTCAGGCACGTTGTATCTAATCTGAGCACCAAAGGCCTCCACGATGCTTTCTATATGCATATTAATAGAAGAAAATTGCATCAATGCTTCATAATTCCATGAGCAGTGCCACTAGAATTATATGCCAAATGAGTGTAATTAATTGGACAGTCATGTTGAATGGATGCAATACTCTTGGCTTCATATAGTGCAGCCATGTTTCTTTGAATGATTTCTGTTAAGATCACAACTCACGTCACAGGTGCCCCTCCCTCTTAAGATAAAGGCATTAGAACGGTTAAAACCGTTGTATTGGTACTTTGTAGGCAAGTTTGATGCTTGGAATCAAGATGCAGCAACATACATTTATGCATTATTATACTTTCTTGGGTATACAGCAAGCAAGCCGGTATTATCCGTTACCTTGTACTTTAGGGAGAGAGGACCTTTACAAGAGTCTTCCTCAATAGGGTAACCAATCAGTAAAAGGATGAGCAGCAGCAAGATGCTTGCTTGCATCAGAGGGCAACAGATGCCTTTCTGCAACATCTTGCTAGTAAGATACCTTGCAATTTTCATAATTATGTCCACGAAGACTTAAAATCGCCAATTTAAAATGAAGGTGAATAAAAGGAAGGGCGGCCAAAAAGATCAATAAGCAGAGTGAAAGACAAGTTAGGGGGTAAATGGGGATCCTGGGGAAGTTTGAGAATCAATGAAGTAAATGCAAGTACCTATGCAATTAGTTGAATCAATATAGTCCAATCATCTAAAAGACATCCAATTATCTAGAACTTCATTTTCCCTTACATAATATCTAGCTAAGGCTTCACATATTCTCTGATAAACTGTTCCAACTGAGATATCTCCCCGTTTAGACCAGAAGCATCTTGAAGTCTAACTTTATTTTGGCACTGAGTGAAAGAAAATGGTTCTCCAGGTACCCCAAGGGTGAACTCATTTGCAATGTCAGCTGCTGATATTGCACTTCTTGATTCCCGTAATTTGTCACTGTAAAATGACAATAAGAGTCATGAACAGTGTTGCAAGATAAAAAGAGTAAAGGCTTCCATAGATTGAACAATACATGCATTTTTAAGATATTTACAAACTAATCGGTGGAAAGGATAAAAAGAGTCAAAAACAGTGAGGAACATGCTACAAGAACAAGGGTTAATAATAGAAAGAAACTAGAAAACACTTCTTGAACATGACTCTAGCAACAGTAATAGCATGAACATAAAAATGTATATATGTGTGTGTGAAGGTATTAAAACACACAAAGAACAACAACCAAACATTATCCAACTAGGTGAGACTAGTTGCATGTATTAAACATTGCCATAGGGCTATTAGAAACCAGATTGTCACTAAATCGATTAAGGGTCCGTTTATTTTTTTTTTATTTTAAAAAATGATGTTGAAAGAACCAAAGTTGAAAATTTTGAATTGTTTGGGAATGATATTTTAAAAATGAGCTTGAAATAATTGTTTTTGCTTGAATGGTGTAGTAGAATCACTTTGAAGTCTAAATATAGTAGAATCTCAAGTCAGCACCTTATCATCTTCTCCGTAGGCAATGCTCAAACTTTCTCACTAATACCCTAATTCAACCTATCTTCATATGTACACAACTTTAAGCCACTGAGAGGATAGGCTGTGAGCATTGCCGGAACCCATGAGGGCATGACCACAGGTAACAATGCAAACAACCTCACCATAACACCTAGGCTCACCCCCAGATAATCCATCAACTGCCAACAATAATATGCAATAACAAAGTAACCAACGAGCAATGAAAGTTACTTGGTAGAAGAGGCGAACTGAGAGGAAAAGAAAGAGTTTGATTTGATGTGAAAAGAGTGAGAATTTGTTGCTTCAGTTGTTCCATTTCCATGTCTTCCCTTTCCTTTCAATCTCACTTGTGTTGTCCCGCCACCTTCAATTTCAATTTGTCTTCTAAAGCCACACCAACTCTTAACTCCATGCATCACTAATCCATCCTTGCTTTTAATTTTTTATTTCTTATAATTCAATTTTAATATTTTTAAAATAAATTATCAATAATTAAAAATAATTTTGTATCATAATATAAATTATTTATCTTAAATATATAATATAACATATATTTAAAAATATTTATTTATAGAAATTTTAAATATAAATTATATATCTAAATATAAAATTTATATCTAAATATAATATTCATTTGTATATATAATTTATCAAAAAAATTTACTTATATATAATAAACATTTAACATGTGAAATATATAGGTTAAAATATTAGTACATAATACACTTAAATGGATATTTCATTTCTATTTTATTATTTAGTTTTAAATTTTATATATTTTACCTGTAACATTCTTTAGTTTATTATGAAGGAAAACGTTTTTCTTCTATTCGGAAGCATTATATGTTCATAATCCTTGAATCTTTGTTAACTTTTGGTTTTAGTTCTTAAACAGAATTTTTACTGATTTTAGTCCTTGAACTTTTCTATTTTTCACTTTTGTTTACAAACAACACTATTATTTTTCTGTAAATAACCCTCTCCTCAAATGCCCTTGTTTCAAATGTGACATCTTCTACTCAAGTTCATTTCTTGAATTTAAAAACATTATAGAACTATTTTTAGTAGTAACATAATTTTCTTAAAACCTAAAACAACACATCACAAGTAAGAAACATCACATAACAAAACAATACAAACAAAGTCGTATAAAACTTAACTGAATCATAATGTGATTTCGACACTTCAAAGGTTGTTACAAAACTAATATGAAAACCAAAATGTTCATAAATATAAAAGCGTCTAAGAAAATAACCAAATATTTTAGTTTCGATGCTAAAACCTATCAAATCATACCTAACCTAAAGAAAAACATGACAATCATGAGGCATAAGCCTTCTCTATAGCATCACCATCCTCATAGTACCTTTATACATACATGATTATAAAAGAGAATCACAAAAGTGAAGGAAGTGAGATACATCTCAGATCATGCTTGAGTAAAGCAAAAGTAGTAAACACACATACACAAAAGCAATAAAGCATCATACATCTTATTTATCAATTCCAAAAACATGCATTTGATGCAATGCAATTTCCTTAGTCTTCTATCTCATATGCATATGATACCAAGTTAAAGCATTTGAAAGTTGATTTGGAGTATATGTAGTCGACGACTTGTCCTAACATAAAATATGACTGCTCTAACACTCTTAGCTAGTAAATTACCCCTCGATGACTTGTTAAGGTTACCCAACTACACTACTATGCCACAACTTCTATAAGATCAATGTGGATAATTAAGGTTTCACCAAATTTAATCTCTCCTAAGACCAAGATTAACAACCCTTTATCGCCTCCACGAGTCTGATTCATTAAGCATTTTTATTAAAATCAATTTTCATCATGCACTAGTGCAAAAATTAGATTTAAAATCGGAGTTTTAAGATCGGTTATAAGGTAACCGATCTTAAAAGTGACGTGGTGACAATTTTGTAAATAACATGAACACTTTTAAGATCGGTTAAAATGTAACCGATCTTAAAAGTACTTTTAAGATCGGTTATTTTATGACCGATCTTAAAAGTATGCCTGACACAACTTTTAAGATCGGTTACAAAAGAACCGATCTTAAAAGTGACACTTTTAAGATCGGTTCTTTTGTAACCGATCTTAAAAGTTCCACTTTTAAAATCGGTCAAAAAATAACCGATCTTAAAAGTACTTTTAAGATCGATTATTTCATGACCGATCTTAAAAGTGACACTTTTAAAATCGGTTATTTAAGAACCGATTTTAAAAGTGCTACTTTTAAAATCAGTTATTACAGAACCGATTTTGTATGTGGTATACAAAATCGGTTCTTAAATAACCGATTTTAAAAGTATCGTCAGAAATCTTTTATATTCCCATCCATTCTCATTCTCTTTAATCTTTCCCTCCATTCCTTTTTTTAATCTCTGATGCTCTTATTTTCTAAAGTCTCCAAGGTAAATTTCGTTTTCATTTTCGTCTTCTCATGTTATTATTGTAACTCTTTTCGTTTGCTCATACTCTTCTCATCTTTATTTTCGTTGTAGGTTCAGTTTGGGCAAAATTCGAACCTGGAACGGCCCGTTCTGCAAGGAGAATGGGTCGTTCTCCAAGAAGAATGGGTCGTTCTCCTTGCAAGAGAACGGGTCGTTCTCCCTTTAGAACGGACCGTTCTGAAAGGAGAACAGGTCGTTCTCCTTGCAGAACGGGTCGTTCTCCTTGCAGCACGGGCCGTTCTCCTTGCAGAACGGGTCGTTCTCCTCCCGTACTGAAAGTTAAGTTTTTGGTCTTTTTGAACAGACTGGAACGGCCCGTTCCAGTTTTGGAACGGCCCGTTCCAGTTTAATTTTTTTCACTATCCACTTTTAAAATCGGTTATAAATCAACCGATCTTAAAAGTCTACTTTTAAAATCGGTTTATAACCGATCTTAAAAGTCTACCTTTTCAAAATCGGCTCTTTTAAGATCGGTTCCATAACCGATTTTAAAAGTCCAAAATAACCAATTTTAAAAGCTTTTTTTCCACTAGTGATGATATGATCCATGATCACATAGGTATGCACATGGTCTCAAAATGTTTTCCATGGAGTC